GTGCTTCGCGGGCTGCGTGTCGCTCTCCTGCTGGCTCACGCCCCACGCGCGCTCGCTGCTGGCCGTCGGGGCGGCGGCCCACTGCTGCCCCATCTTCATCGGCCACGGGGCCGCGGACGAGGCCGCGGGGGAGCGGCGCGAGGAGCGGGAGCGAGAGGAGGGGGGAGGAGGCGTCTGTCGGGCTGGGCTCGTGTCGACTCCTCCGACTCGAACTGATTTCATTCGGTTCCGATCGATTGCGATTCGATTCGACTTTGGATTCCGATCTGGATTTTGGTTTCTCAATGGGTGCCCTACTCGATTGCCGATTCCCGCCGATTCGACGTCTCTCGACTTGGCTGCCGATTTCCGCCGATCCGATTCACTTCGATGGCCGATCCGACATATCGATTCGATTGTGGGTTCTCCTGCGAGCTTGGAGGAGCAGGATGAGGAGGGATCCAGACATCCGCGACTCTGACAGAATTGTAGCGGGCGGTTTGGGAATTATTTTTAGCCTCCGGGGCCCCTAAATGGGGGCCCTGAACGGTCCCAGCCTTGAACGCTGGACGTTCTGGGGGGAAGAGGGCGTCGGAGGGAGGAGGAGGAGGCGGAGGAGGAGGCTGAGGAGGAGGAGGAAGAGGAGGGTTATTTGAATAGGTATTTCCTTAAGCGCTAGGTGGAGTTGAGCTTTATCGTGGAGGACCCCAAAGAGGCTGCGGAACCAGAGACGGATATTCTGACGATACATCTCCATGACTCCGCAGTTTTATGCAGGCTGGCATATATATATATATATATGTATATATATACACATTGTACATATATGTATGTATATATCTGTGGGTGTATGTATACGTGTGTCGATTGAACGGTATTTAACAGGAGCGAGGAGCAGGGAGGAGGGAGAAGGAACGAGGAGGAGTGGGAAGAGGAATGAGGAGAAAGGGGAGGGAGTTTGGTCGAGAGGAGGAGGAGGAGGGTTTGAGGGCGACGGGGAGGAGCGAGGAGGGAGGAACATGAGGAGCGGGCAGGAGCAGCAGGGGGGGCTCCTCCTTTCCCTTGGGTTGGTTCGGGCTTTCCTTGCCTCCCCCACCCCTCCCGCACCTCCCCGGCCGCTAAGATCCTGGAGTGCCACGGGCCGCTCGCCGTGCGCCACGTCTGGCCTTCTTGCGTTCCAGCGCTCTACCTTTCGTCACTCGAGTGCTCCTCCTCGCGTCAGCTTCCGCGGAGACGTGGATCGAGATGCTCGACCATATCCTCCAGAGCGTGTTGGGCCAGAGCGCGCGGAGTATATTGGGGCAAAGCCTTTGGACACATTCATTACGCGAGCCTTGATCTGGAGAGAGATTGGATGTGGCTTGTTGTTGGCGCTTCTGGCGTACCGCTCATACATATTCCCGGTTTCGTGCTTCAACTGGACCTCGCTCCGCTGAGTGGGAGGTCTACGGGCAGGAGGCGTGCGCTGTTCTCTTCCCTGGTCCGCGGGGCTGGGCTTCTCCCGCGGCCCTCCGAAACCTGCGCACCCTCGGCTTCAGAGCGCACTCGCTGACGCCCGCGCGACGGCTGCGGCGGCGAAGTGCCGGGTCCACGGGTTGGGAGAGCGTGGCGCACGGCGGCCTCCGGGCCTGGCGCCGATCCCGAGCACTGCAGGACGCGCGAGGGATCTCCGACCACGTGATGCGGCAGGCACGATGGCGCGACTCATTGGTGCCAGCACAAGTCAATCAGCAACCTCGACCAGGCCTACCGACTGCTCCAGCAGAAGGCGACGAACGCGAGGCTGACGACGGCTGAGCTGATGCAGGGTGCTGCTGCGGAGCCACCGCTGCGATAGCACTGGCAGGAACGTTGCCGAGCTCTTGCTGGAAGACCCGCCTCCGACTTGGGGCGATCCGTCACCTGAGCAGCTGCCTGGCTCGCCTCTCCTTTTCCGCTTTTGCTGGGTCGCCGCCGCGATCGGGCCACCAGCGCCTTCCGCGGATTTGCGCGCTTAGTGCCTCCTCGAGTCTGGGCGTCCCGGCTGGAGCACCAGCCACTTCATTCAGCGACGATTGAGTTGCGCGTTTGGCTGCGGCGCTGCCGAGGACAGCCTGTGAAACCATGATTTCTGCCCTCGGGTCGTGTTTTTCTGCTGGAGGCGTTTGGGTCTCCTGCCTCCCCCCTCTTCTAGATCGCTTATTTAGGTTAATATGTTTACATTTCCCTTCCGCGATGAGATGGCCAGTGAACTAGCTCGCCGTGCCCTTGTCGCGTGCGCAGTGTACGCTGCTGGAAACTCTACGCGACACACCCAGACTACCAATGCGCAGGAAGCCTTGGTACAGTATGCGCGGGAGTCTTGCGCCTGTCACGCCGGCTCGGCGAACATTGAAGCTGCCGTGTGGCATACGTAATTGTTCCCCCCTCCTCCCCTCTGCCAGTTCGTTTCGATGTCGTCGTCCCCCCTCGTCCTCCTCCTCCTCCTCCTCCTCCTACTCCTCCTGCCTCCTCCTCCTCCTCCTCCGCCTCCTCTTTCTCTTCCTCCCCCTTCTCCCACTCCTCTTTCCCTCGGCGCCCGTGGGCCCCCAAGTGGTCTCTCGGGGACCTTTGACAGATTCAAATTGGCACCCGGGGCGGCCTAAAATTCATCATGGATCTAACATGTGTTTTCTCGTTGTTGGGGAGGTTGTTATGTTAACTGTGCGTTGGTTTGGGGATCTGTCTTTTCGTCGCACACATAACGCGCGCCATGTGGCCTCCAACCCACCTTCCCACCCAGTCATTGCATAACGCCCGCCGCCCGACCCATCCCCGTTGCAGCAGCGCCTGGTGCATCGGAGGTGAGGGGGTGAGATCGAAGTGGAACGGAGAGCCCCCGAACCAGGAAATCGGTTTCTGCGGGCGAGGCGAAGCTGCGTGGGCGGGCGAGAAGAAAGTCTCCTCCGGCTGAGGCGCGGCCGGACCAAATGATTCCTTTCCAGGGGCCGGTGGCCCGCGGTGTCCCGCCGGTGTCCCGCCTCCGGCTGAGGCGCGGCCGGACCAACTGATTCCTTTCCGGGGGCCGGTGGCCAACAATGCACAGAACTGGAGTATGCTACGGTCGGACCTAGGCCAGAGGCACATCCCTCAAGAACAAGAGACCCTGCGCCGGCCAAAACACACAGAACATCCAAGGGTACCCTCCCCAGGGTGAACAAGAACGTCCAACAAGCACGAAGAAAACTGAGGTACCCTCCCAGACTCGACCTCGATCTTACACTTACCTCGGTCCGACTGCATGCTAAGGTCCCCTGGCTTCTCGTGCTCATTCTCGGAGGCTGATTCTGACCGTGCGAGTGCGCGCTTTTGCCGTGGAAGGGCCTTCTTGCCGGGGGTGGGCAGCAGGTCGAAGCGGAACTGCCACGTCGCCAGCAGCAGTGTCTCATCGAGCCCGACAGGGCAGACACCGAGAGTGCGAGCACGGAGGAATCAGAGTGAGGAGTTGAAGGGATGGATTGCTGCGACCTTACATGGTGTTCAGACGTACCTGGCATCGAGGGACCCTTACTTCACGTCTGAGGTGGGCACCCGTGGGCGTCCCGTGCGCGCGCTGCGTTCTGTGGGTTTTTGCTTGGGGGCCGTCCGTAGGAGCTCCGAGCGCGCACCATACAGGGCAGTTTTTAATTCATATGATGTTAAACAATATATAATTTGAAAGACATGATTAATTTAGGAATTAATGTATGCATGAACTCATCGTTGTTTTTAATACTGAATCCCTGCATGTTTAATACATGATCCGCACGCGGAGCATGTATAAAAACGGCACTGTGTGGCTTGCGCCGCCTATGTTGCATTCCATAGATTCTGTTTTCTCAGAAAGAATACTCGACCCTAGCCTGGAGGCCAGGGTCAGATGCCCCTTTGCACCCGGTGACATTTTACATTTGTTCTGCACGATCGTCCACCCTATAACTGAACGCATATCATCCCTGCCAATCCCCTTTCTGCCACCCCCACGCCTCACCCCTCTCGGTTGATACTGTGCGGAACATCCGCGCTGACTTGCACAGGTGCATGCTCGGTAGAGCCGTTCCGAATAGTCTAAATGCGGGCCACACGCGCGCACACGTAGCAAGATCCTCGCAAAGCCACGTGCCACCCCGAATCAGCGAAAGTAACCTGCCACTGATGCTGCGTACGCGCTTGCTTGCACGAGTAGAACACGTGCGCGCGAAGTCCCTGCAATCACTAGAAACGGGCTTTGATTGCCACTCTGTCACCATGTGGGCCTTTCTCGCGCGCAGACCGAGATCATTCGTCAATCATCGCACACCCGCCAACTCGGTCAAATCATTTCCTGCACCACGCTTGCAGTGGTTGGTGTGGTTGCGTGGGTCGGGCCCTTCCTCTTTCTGCTACCAGCGAACATATGGTCAAACATGTTATAGAAACCCAGGTCAGCTTTCCAAAGTTTCTCTTGGTACGGGCTGGAGGGACGAGCGTGCTTGCATAACTGGGCCACCTTTCCCCCACGTAGTTTAAGAAACGCTGTCATAGCGTTTCGGGAGGAGGTGTGTTAACTAGATGGTCGACCGTGATTCCGCTCCCTGCAAAGCCATAGCTGGGGCCCCCGACGCATCCAGCCCAACATGCGGCCGCTTGTTTGAAAAAGTCCTGGCACCTGTTTTGAGCAACATCAGAAACATCCCTAATCCTTTGGGAGGGGACCTACGTTAGGAGGGCCAACAAAAATATGGATAGGGGTCTTTTCTGCAGATGTATCAGACCAAACCGCCCTGACGTATTATCCCTAATGCGAAGACGGGGACCTGAGTGAGGCCACGCCTTCATCGTGTTATTAAGGTTCGGATTTATGTTGTTCTGGATGATTTTTCCCTCCCAGCAAAGCGCCCCCCAACATCGAAACACACGGCGGGGGGGGGCTCGTGGCACAGACCCCCCCAAGGCGCTCGCCCGGACCTCCCCCCGCTCCATGCCCTCGCCCCGATGGCGGCACCAAGAGAGACTCCAAGAGGGCCAAGATGGCCTCAGATGGCCTCCGTAATAGCCATGACGGTCTCCAAGGCGTGCAAGATGGCCCCACCCGGACTCCACGACGGTCGAAGATGGCATCCAATACGGTTACGATAGCCCCAAGAAAGCCCAAGAGGCCCCCAA